TTACATCTGTAATTAGAGATTGATTTTTCACTTTTTAGATTTTAATGAAACTTTCAGGACTTAATGAATTTAGTACATTTAACATCAATTTAATGAAATTAAGAAATTAAATTTTGACTGCAAACTGTTTCATTAGTTAAAAGTAGGATTCCTTGGCAGAATGGAAACCTTTAAGTTACTTTACCAAAAATCTAACATTAGGTAAGGTTTTAATTACTTTTATAAATATATATTAGGTAGCTACTTTTTCACTAGGGGTTGGGTGGAGAAAAGTGCATAGCATGATGAAAAAGGCTCCAAGCTTATCAAAATGTTTAAGATCAAAGTATTTTATTAAATTTTCTTTTAATCATTTCTGGCATGTTCAAAGTTTTAGTTAATCTTTTACAACAACAGCCTACATATTTATTAGGGACCTTCACTTAGTTGCATAAGAAACAGCATATCATGATGGAAAGTCCCCAAACTATAAAAAGTTTGGGCAGTAAAATGTTATCAAGAGGGAAAAACCAATTTTAAAATTTTTACTCCTTTGTAGCATGTTAGGTTTTGGGTAAAAAAAAAAAAAAAAAAAAAAAAAAAAAAAAACAAACAGTTTTAAAATGGGCATTCAGAAATTAATTTTATGTAATTTCATGAAATTGAGAAATGTAAGGGCAGGGATTTTTTTTTTTTTTTTTAATTAGTTATAGGGAAACTCCTTGAGATAGTAAATCATTTTTTATAAGAGATTTCATCCATTAAAAAATCTCAGAAAATTTTTATAAAAGTATCTTCAAATGTAAATAAAACATTAGATAATTGCTGAAAATGTTAATTTGTAATAATTACCAAGATAAATTTTACAAAATCTAAGCAAACTTAAGCCAATTCAGGTCATCCAAACTCATCACCTTGTAACTTGTCAGTTATGTTAATGTCAATCAGGGGAGCCACTAAGAAATGCTTGTATACTATATTTGTTTCAAATCTGATTAATTTAACTCAAATAAATTGTCACAAATGTTAATTTTTGAAAATTTTTAAAAACAAATCGTTTGCAAAATTTAAAATTAAGAAAATGGCTACTTTGAAAATTGGCTGAAAAGTAAAGATTCCAATGTATAATTCTTATTTAAAATAAGACCTGAATATTTTAATTACCAGAAATATTAAATTTAAATCATTTAGCTTTCAATTAAAGCTAAAATGAAATAGTCAAGCATGCTTTTTCATCGAAGTGTCGAGTCAGTGGAGGTCCTAATAGGGATAGTTTTGGGTGGAAAATCTAGTTTGGAGAAGTGGGTAGATTTTTTTTTTTAAAAATCAAGTCTTCAGGACTTATCCAAATAAAATTGATTTTTTTTTTTTGTAGAAAGCCCTGGTAAAAGATTTAGCATGTTAGATTATGCAAAATGTTTAAGCTGGTTTAAATTTTCTTGCAGAAGTTTAAAAGTGATTTTGGCACAGATACTTTCATAAAAAAAAAAAAAAAAAAAAAAAAACCCAGAAAAACAGAAAATTTAAAGTAAAATTAGCAAGTTAAAAAAAAAAAAAAGTGTCAAAGCCAAGTTTAAGCTCAGATCAGTGTGCAACCAACAAATCAGCAAAGAAAGTCAAATGTTCATTTTAAAAATCTTTTATTAATGGCATACAAAAAAGTAATAAAGCACTAAAACAGATTAAGACAGCTGTCCCAGCAAGGGGATAATTTGTACCTGTCATTGTATGGACATTTAAGCCTGATTTGAGTGAAGAGCTAATTCACACGGAAATGGTAATAGAAAGAAAGACATCAACAGCCAGTAGGTACATTGCTACCTGTTTTGAAGGTTCAAGTACATAGTAGCAGAAGGGTGCTTTGGTTGGCAAAGGTACTCAGAAACCGTGTACCTGAAAAGACAAGCAAGAAAATAGCAATTAATTTCATAAAATATAACAAAAACAAGTTAAAAAAATCTCAACAAGATAATGTCCTTACCTTTAATTGGTCATCCTTAGCAATCCCTATCTTCCTCAGAAAGTCTCGAATGTTGACTCTCTGATCCCCCTGCAACTGTATAACCTCCCCGTATTCAGGGTGATCCACTACAGTACCATTACAGGCGAACTCCTGTGGAGGGAAAATAAAATATTAGAATTCTGCAACAACTACCCCCACCCAACCGTTTTTTTAATTTTTTTTTTAAATCTTAAAATTTTAAAGGAAGTTAAATTTTAAAAAATAAAAAACTTACTTTCTTACAGGCCTTGACTATCTTTTTAAAGTCGTAGTCCTTAGAGATACCCTGAACTGTCGTTAGGGTTTTTCGTCCGTTTCTTTGCTGTATCCGGATATGAATTATACCCTCTTGTCCGCCAGAACCACCAACTTCATCGCTGGCAGTTTTCAAATCTGAAAAATATTATGCAAAGTCTGACATTATAAAGATAGAGGAAAACTTTTTTCTAAGAAAATAGCATGTTTTAAAGTTCACAAATCCAGGTGAAGATTTCAACATTCAAATTGATCATATGACAATGGCCATGTTAATTTCAGCGACGTTGAGAAAGAATTGTGAACCAGATGAAAAGGAATCTACAATTTAAAAAAGAAAAAAAACTGAGCTTGTTCTACTTCAGCTAAGTCCGAAAATCATTTTTCAGCAAGCGGTAAATGTCAATTTTCACTTCATGATCAGCTTTTAATTTTCTTCTGGTTACCCCCCTTCCCCCCATCATCGCCGTACTTTCACATTCATAATATACTGGCATCAAAATTGAATTTACATTCAAGTTTTTAATTATAAATTTGTTAAAATTTACCTTCCCGCTACTTTAATGCGCATGCGTCGTCACCGAATGCTAACTTCTCTAATGTGAAGTTTCGAACTGCTAAAAATGTCTCATTAGGATTTATGAAAGAATTTCCATACAAGACCATCGACAGGCTACTTTGACACCAAGAACATTTACTAGATATTAATTGAATTTTAAAACGGATTAGGTTTTAACTGGAATGAGGAATATAAATATTTAATATTTAAATACTAAATACATTTAATTTTCAAAGGAAAGTAAATTTAGAAGTGACGATTTTCATTAGTAAATCAATAAAGATTGTTATCTACCAGGAAGATAAAATATAAACAAATTTGCTCCGAAGACAGAAAAACAAACGGTTAACTAAAATCAGGTTTAGTAGTCACTCAGACGACTGCTAAGGATGCTACATGAAAAATATCATTGAGGAATTTATCAAGACACGGTTTATTTTGTACTGCGAAGTAAACCACTTACGTTACAAAATAAATGACGCGCCAAATAAAAGGTGTGGTATTGTTCTTAGTGGCAGAATTGCAGTTGAATTCCTAGTAGTTGTAGCAGTTAGTGACTAGCACTACTAAATAGTAGCAGAAAGAGATACTCTAGCGAGACCCATTTACAAAATGCTAACATTTTAAACAGCTTTCAGCGTATATGAACTTTTGAATCAGAATTCAAAACGGATTTCTAACGAAAGAGACCTTAAAAAGGTTATCAAATTTTCTGATAGAAACAATCTCATTAAAACTAAGCTTAAACTAAAGTGTAGTAATCACAGAAATAAGTTACGATCGAGAAAATTGTTCTTAGAATAATTATTAATTTAAGAATCTAGTACATCTACTCTGAGTGTTAGAAAAAGAAATGCTTCAACTTGAAATGTAAGACGATCAAGCAAGTTGGAAATTGACTGACTACTAACCTAACACTTCCTCCTCTTGGAGGAAGAAGTGTTACATTTTTAGTAGTCAGTCAATGATTGCCGGAAGAAATTAGGACACTAAAAATTTATAAGAGTAATTCGATTGATGCAGGGATTTAACACAGAAATAGCTATTAAAATACAATATACAAGTTGAGCGATCATTTCAGGTGCGATTAAAAGTAAAAAAAAGGAATAGACATCTAGAGACGAAGTTGTTGCAAGCTAAAAAGAAGAGCAACATGGCGTCGGAAGGCATAAAACAGGACAAGCAAGAAGCGCGGAGATGTTAAATGAGACTTGCTAACGTTTTACTTTATAAAAGATAATTAAGAAAATCAAGGATTTAGAGAGACTAAGATTGGATCATATCGTAACGAAGTGGTAGAAACAAAAAATACATATACAAATATACATATATACATGTACAAATATACATGTACAAATATTCTTACCAAAAGAAATGGAGAGGCTCGGAATTTGGTTCATACAGCAGGTATAGTGTTTATTCCACCAGGTAGTCTTTAACCCTAACAACGAGGGATAAATTCACAGGTTTCCTCACGGAAGGGAATGATCGAGTAAAATGATACAGAGAGAGTATGCTACACACTCACTGTATTAAAAGGTGATGGCGAATATTGAACGAAGTAACGACACCGATTGCTGGAAAGGAAAGGAAGCAAGAGTGATGTACGCCGCTGCTGCTTATGTTGCAAGTGGAAAGTTGACGTCACGTTGACCAATAGCTTTTAACGCTTATTATGACGTCATATATATTGCAAATATTAGCCAATCATAGCTCACTCTCGCTACTTTCTCGTGAAATTTTTCAACCAGTCTCGCCATTAGCAAATATTTTTATAATTTTATTAGAATTTATTAATTTTACGAAATATATTTTTTTATTTATCTAAAATAATAAAGTATAACTTAAAAAGTTTTTTCTTTTAATTCTTAATACCAACTTACAGAAAAACCCAGGATTCCTAGTCATTTAAAACAACAAATGACGTCAAAACAAGGGACATTTTATTATGGGAAGCTTTTATTATCTCCCTTCCCGGAACTTTTTTTTTTTTTTTTTTTTATTAAAAAATTTTTGACCTATTTTTTTAAGTCTTTCTAGTGGGGTCTTGATCTTAATTGATAACATAGTTAATTAAATTTTAATTGTTTATACCTTAAGGACACATATTTTGATTGACATTGGTAATTTCTAAAAACAACGTTTAACGATGCTCAATAATTTGACTGGATTCTCGAATAACGCAAGAAACTGAGGGAGCAATCCATGACTAACTTCCTGTCGTATGTCCAGAACAACACAAAACTGGCCAACAGCGACAAGTAAGTCGAGAAATTTCTTTTATTTTAGCTGTCAAATAATTTCTAATGGATCAGATCTTTATTATAATCAAAAGCTAAAATGATGTCAGATACTCGATCACTTTTTAGATATAATTTTAAGATGATAAAAAGATGTACTGTGTAGTAAAGAGCGTTACTCCTAAAAATGGAAATAACAAAAACATTTTTTCATTATTACTCGACTCGATGTTTTTAAAATTGTTTGAGAAAAAAAATAATGTGATTGATGACATTCGTAACACTTTAGCTGAGAATTTACGTCAAGACTTTATTTATATATTGTTAATGTATTTTTAGAAGCAAAGATCGTTGAAAAAAAATAAGATTTATTTCAACCTCCAAATTGGCACGTGTCCTTTTTTGACACGATGCGTTGGGTTTTTTTAATGGCTAAGTTCATTTTCAGCGCTTTAGATTTGTCCACTGTTATTAACATTCAAATTACTATTTCCATGGAATATTGATTATATAAATAATTACGTATGTATCCTATCTTTTAATCAACAAATTAAAAAATAGCTTGGGCGTCTGCTACACCTCAATAGTGATGTCTTCAAAAAAAAAAGGAAAGCTTTTCCTTTAAAAAATATAAAAAACAGTCTTTGTTTTTTTTTGTTTTTTTAAATTATTTATCAGATCTTAAATTTAACAGTATTTTTACTTTAAATTGGATTATATCAAGGTGCATCGTTAATACTTGTTTTGTTACCAATTGTTAGACTTTATTAGTGGTTACCCCAAAAATAAAATGATTTTGTGATTTTAAAAATACTTAAACCCAATGATTCATTTTGCCTACAAGACATATTTTCCGGTTTCGTTTTTCTTTTCTCTCTTTCATTCTTTCTTTCTCTCTTTCATTCTTTCTTTCTCTCTTTCATTCTTTCTTTCTCTATAATTCACTAGGATTGACATGAATTACTAAAAATCTATTTTAAAAATTCGACTTTGGGTGAGATGAAGACGAACGCATTATTGTTTGAAATTCATTGTTGTTCATTTTTTACTTCATTCTTGCATAAAAATAATTTATTTAAATTTGGAATTGATTTTTTTTAATTATATAGAATTTAAATTTTCATCACATTCATTAATTTAATCATTAATCTGAAATCTCGAATTGACATGTTTTTGTTTTAAACAAATTCTTCTTGACCTTCACTTCTGTAAATGAATTCATCAACTGCGTATAAGTAGATTCTCTCTAAAATCTATTCTAAATTAGTTGACTCAGTTAAATATAAATTTCAACCTCTCACACTTTATATGACAATAATTGAAGAAATTATTGATTTTTTTTTCCTTCATAATTAAGGATTTTTTGGTTATTCATTCAGTAAAAAGTGATTTTGAATTCAGGAATATAAATTAGAATGGAGAATAGAATCTGCAAAAAAATTTTTGTATAAATTCAAATGAGGCTGTGAAGAATTGTTATTGCAAAGACTAAATTGCTTGTAGGGACAGTGTTAGCTATTGAATGAATGTCAAATTTTGGTTCAAAAAATTTACAAATGAATATTTTCATTAAGACAGTAAAGTTGACTGAGTGAAAAACATTGGAAAGTGATCTCAAAATTTCAACCACTGATCTCACAATAAGATTCCAAAATCACTGGGACCATTTCAAATCAATGAGAGCTGTTGACAAAAAAAAAAAATGATAAGTGAATTTAATTTAAATAAAATGAACAAAAAAAATTGAAGTTTTACATCCTATCAACATGCAATGTCTAGTTTTGCATCACTTGCTACTTTTTATTTTAAAAAAAAATGAACTTTTTTTATCTTGTATAACAACAAAAGCTGGATATGGAGGAGAAGCCAAAACATTAAATCTGGAAGATGACAGTTTGGTGGAATGGAAATGGTTTGAGACATAGTTTCTTAGAATTACTGCAGAAATAATTCAACAAAACTCAATCAGTGCACATTTTGGTGAACAGTTTAAAAAAAAAAAGTGTTATTTTGCTACAGGATGATGATACCTGCCTTTCTTTGTATTATAAAAACTATTAGTTTTAACCCATGAAAATTTTAGTTTTCCTATTTTAATATTCTGGTAAATCTTAATTTTTAAGTTAATGATTGAGTAAGAAGCTCATGGTGAGTTCTACAACAATATCTGTAGAAAGTTCCCTATCGTATCGTTAAATTAAATACTTGAGTTTAACAACTTTTAGAGAAACAAAATATTGCAATAACAACCATAAATATGAATATTGGCCATTAATTTGAGAAGTGGCTAGAAATGAAAAGATTTGAAATTGACAACTTTTTCCATTTCACTGAAACAACCGTTAAACACTTTTCTTTCTTTCTTTCATTTTCTCACTGAAACCAAGTAGTATCTTTTCCCCTCTTTTCACGAGATCAAAACGGAATAACCCATTATTTATGAGGTATTGGCAGGATGTAATGGTTGTACAAACTAACAAATGAACTAGCACTATTATAATTGAGAGTTGAATTTGTTGATGATGAAAATAATGCATAGTGCTTGTGCAATTGACTTTTCTTCTATAAACTATATAATCTCTTTCAAATATTAGGCCAGTATGAAAAATTGGAGAACCAAGTTTGAATCCCAGTCAGCTTCATTACATTCAATTACAAACAAATACCCTTGTGAAAGATATGGAACTCATCTCCTCCACTCGGCTTTGGATTAAATAGTAGAACTTTTATCTGGAAAAATCATTGTTATTCTCCAAAAATTGTTAATGCAGTATTCACTTGCAAAAAAATAAAAAGACTTGTTCTTACAATCCCAAATATGAGTTGATAATCATAAAAAACAGATCAATTATTTAATCTACAGAGGTAGATTATTCTTGTTCTGCTCTCCATGTCTCGTCATTTTTAGTACAGCTCAGTTATTGCTCATCTTGTTTCTGCTGAATCTAAGTCTGTACCACCCAGCCCAAACGTAAATAATACAATTACTATGACATCAAATTCATCAACCAATGCCTTAGTCCACTAGGCATCATTTCAAAATTCTCTGAAGGTTATCCAGATCAACAAGCACTCAAAAAAGACTAGAAGGCACAAAATATATTCTTGTGATAATAACAATAAACAGAAATAATGTAAATTATTGTTTTTTGTTTAGATAAATCATCAATTTCCTTTTGAACAGCCTGATATATTTATTACAGAAAATCTCTCCTGAAAAATATAAAAAATAATGTTTCTCTTTATGAGAGTAACAACTTTTTCATGCTACATGTAGTTATAGGAGAGTGTTATTTGTTTTGTTTTTTTTTTTCCAATATTCTGACCCACTTGATTCTCCCTTAATTATCAAAATATGACCATGATGAGACATTTTGTCAAGATATCTAATGTAGGGAAAAATCGATTCATGCCTTTCCTAAGTGCATTATTAAAAAATGAAAATAAATACTTCCCAATGGAATTTCAACTGTTTTTGCTCCATTTTAAGTTTCTGTAATGTTTGCCATTACTTTACCCAACACCTCTAATGCAAATGCCTACAACTACATTACACTAACCTACAGCTTTTAATGCATGTACTTTACAACTATATTTTTGTGACATTCAAATTTTGTACAAACATGTTTTCCTTTAAAAATTCAGGAATTTTATTTTGACTTGTGAAACATTAGCTAAATTAAAGAAATGTGTATAATTTAATTTCTTTTGTGTTTTTGTTCACAGTTAAATAATTTCAACATTTTTTTTTTTATGGATAAAATGATGCTATTAAAAATATTCCTTAAGAGTGATACATGCTAATAATAATAATTTTATCATTTTGATCAGTGCAAACAAAATTTGGTTTAAAATCCTTATTGTTTGACAATGAGTTTCTTTGCCAAAAAATGGCAGAGTAACTTTTACTAATTTTTCAAGAAGGTGATTGTAATTGTAAATACTAGTGTAACATTATCCATTTTACTTTTGCTGTTCTGTTTGGAAATTGCTTAGAACAATGGTGCTCTTGTTATTAACTGTCCTAGATTTACTTGGCTTCAAAACACTCCTTTCACTTACAGACACTTGTACATATCACATTATTAAGTTCTCTCTTTAAAATCACAGTTAAATTAATGAAGGTCTTTTCTGCTTATACACTTAAATTCTCAACTTGCTTCATGTTTCTTATATTTCTCTTTTTATAAAGTTTTCATTTTGGGAAAATGACATTTTCATTTCTTGTCTCAGAGTGCTTCATAATTTGTTTCCTTTTTTATATATATTTTTTTTCAAGATGATCTTTCTAGCATTTATGAGACTATTAATTATATTAATAATTGATTGTGTATCTTTAAGAGGTTTTTGTTTGCACTAAAGTAATTTAATATTTTTACACAACAGATCAGTTTTTCTGCTAAGTTCTACTTATGATGAAGTTGAAAATCTATTTCATTGTTTAATATGCAAACACATGTAACAAATTATTTTAATTTTAGACCAAAACAGTTACATTTTATTTTATCCCACATTTATTAAACTATTTGGATTCCGTGTGTATTGAATAAATTGTAACCCCATTTTGAGGCTATATAACAAAATAGTGAGGGTTGTTATAGCCCAGTTGTTGTACAGAAGTTCATATTTTCTGGAGATAAACTATCTTTTAAATTACTGAACTAACAGATAATCAGGTTAAATGTAAAATAGTTGATTGCTTCAACTAATGTGAAATTAACTTTACAAATGTATATATTTATTAAAGAAGCTGTTTGAAGTGGCAATTTTTGTCAAGTATGCTAAGGGATTTTTGTTTGTTAATAAATTTCTTTAATGTAATCAAAAGGTATATTTGCAATTACCAAAATCCTTATCGGATTACTAAAATATATTTAGTTCAGTTCTTTTCTGTTTTCAATTTAAATTATTATTCCAGTAATGACATAATATTATAAATTATTAGCTGCTGGCGTTTTTTAAATGTTTCAACTCATCAATGAATGTTTTGTCTACAGTTTGGGGTAAATTTGTATTATATAAATCATATCAGAAACTGGGCATATCCTGTGGGCATTTGTCATGTCCAAATCATAAATGTAAAAGCAAAAGACACAATCATTTCATTCTCTAAATGCAAAGCTTAAAACAATGAGTATTGAAGTAAGGATTTCCAAATAAATTTTTTTTTTCTCATCAACCCTGCACAGCAAATAAATTTTCTTTATGTAACCAATTTGCTTCTGAACATTTTCCAGGAGACTTACACAATTCTTGAAATCATCAGAAAAAAGTGCCCATTATCTCTTTTACATTATGATTCCCTATAAATTCAGATGACTTCATAAATTTTCTTATCCATAGTGAAACTTTTATTTAGGTTACTTTTACTTTATTTATGGGGAAAACTCTGTCCTGGATAAGTGTGTTAGTTTAAGGGTGATCAACACCATATTCTATGGTCTTCAGTTGTCAGTCAAAAGCTTGGAGAGGAGATGGGTACTACCAAGCTATCTGAAAGTCCACTGAGCCCATGAAGAAGAAGACTCAAAGTCTGTTTCTTCTGTCGTCAGGTCCCCTTAACAGTTGAAGAAGTCAGGAGTTAAAAACAAAAAAAAAAATGACATTTTAAAATTTTCCTATTTTTCTTAATTATTTAGTTAATAATTTTGAGAATCATTATTATAGTCTGAATTTTTTCACATTTAAAAAAAGTCTGATTTTCAAAACCTCTTTTAATATAATTTTGTATTAAATGAAGATACAATATATATATATATATATATATATATATATATATATATATATGTGTGTGTGTGTTTTGAGCAATAAAAAATATTAAAAAATTAAAATTTTTAGACACACTATATTAATACTTTTTTGTTTTATTATTTCAATTAGGTGTTCACATTTTAAGAATTAAAAACAATCAGTTATGTTAATTCCTTTAAATGTTCTGAACTTGACAGTCTGGTGTACATGGTGCTACCTTATTTTCTGGAGGATCAACTTATCTAGCAAATGTCGGGTTAAAATCTACATTGACATCTGAGATGTTTTGGGGTGGGTGGGGCACGACTTAGTCTCCAACATGTATGGTAATTTTGTTTTAGTTTATTGTAATGAAATGGTAAAATGGCATTATTTAAAATAATTTTAAAAAATACTATATAAATTGTAACAACAAAAAGAATATATCATGAAGATGGGGAGACATGTTGAAAATTACTCTTTAAAAGAAAAAAAGGTGACATAAATCCTCTTACGCAGCCAATGATTGGGTTGATTGAAAACTGGCCGCTTACATCAACTTCTTTCTTTTGATAATAAGTTTCAACATGTTTTTGCTTTTTCATGCTATGCCTTTGTACCACCAAGAAATTGTACAAAATTACTTAAGTTTTACTTTCATAACGATTAAATTTCTATTTATCAATCGAAAGTGTCTTTGTTTATAACATTTACATATGTTGTTCAAAGAATTGTATTTGATCATTTCATATTGAGTAATATTACTTGAGCATTTTAGAAATATAACATCTTTTGAATAATCTAAATTCTTCAGAATAGCTACTCCTTCATAACGCACAATTTCTTTAGTAATCTGTAGAAATTGTTCCTTTGACTAGTATAACCGTTTGACCACTTCTAATTGTTATTCCTGTTTTGCATTATCATTTTCTTCACCTTTTCTCACTTTTGTTTATTAACTCTTAAGAAATAGACTTGCTCTTTATCAGGGATATTTTCTTCTATTGGTCAGTGCATTTTGTCTGTTTACAGCAAACACTCATGTCTATATGTTATCAGTTGTCCTTGCACCAAAATATGTGACCTATGCATATGTTGCACCTTGTACATTTTTTTGCTCTTGCTAATCCAGGAGTTCATCTGTTGGGTCAGGCAATCTACACCCCCAGGCCAGTAGAATGCTGCTGCTGCTACTGCTGCTTCACCTGCTGCTGCAACCTAAACGTGAATGTGATTCCTCTTCCTCCTCCTTCACTGAAACTGGTTGGAGAAGTTTATAGATTTTGAGAGAATCAGTCGACTTAACTCCTCTCTTAAACACCACATGTCAGATGGACAACAGTCACTGGTAATTATAATGCTGTCCTGCCATTTGTGATACTACTTTACTTTGATCCACTTTTTCTATTAAAAGTTGGACTGTATCAAACAATTCAGTTGAATGTTAGATCACAAAACCAATAAATTTGCTTACATAATCACATTTACACACATGTTTATGATTTGCTTCCTTGGATATATTCTTTATGCAATAGGGAGCATTAACACTGACATGACAAAACCATGTTAAAAATGTTCAGGCATTGACCCATTGTACTCTTCAAATATTTATGTGATTGGGCCCCTGACTTTGCTTAAAATGCATCTCCTTAATTGCCTTGAAATTCATTTTACATTTTTTTTCTTTTTTTTTTTTTTTTTCACACTAAACTATTCTCATATCATAGTTGCATTATATTACATGCATTATCAAGAATGTGACCTAAAACAAAGTAGGTAAACAACTAAACAATTAAAAATGCTTAAAGAATATTAATATATGTTGCAGTTAGATTTTATTCAAAGAAATACAATATATAATTTATTTTCTAGGACAATCTTTCTACCATTTAACTCTTAGGTTAATAAATGATTGCGAATATAAGAATCTTTAAAATGTTTTTGTCTGTACTAAAGTAATCTAATAATTGTAGATCACAGATAATTTTCATTTTCTTTGTTTTTCTGTTAAGCTTTATTGATTTCTGCTTATGATAGAAATACAATATATATAATTTACTTTCTCATGTTAATTTAGTTAAAATCTGTCCTAAATTAATATTTAAAAATAATATATTTATAATATAATTAACATGTTGAATAAAAGAACCATTTAGGATATTAAGATTTATAGCCTAAAATAATATTTAAAAATTGTGTGTGTGTGTGTGTGTGTATATATATATATATATATATATATGTATATATATATTTATATATATATAGTAATTTTCTAAAGAAATAATGGATTTTTTATTTATTAATTTGACAGATTTTTTCTCACTTTAAATGTTAGTCTTAGTGGATATTCATATTTGAGTAGATGCTCTGTTTATTTATTAAACAATATATTTATGTATTTTCCTCAACCAGCCTAAATATTTAAGAAATCTTATTAATGGAAAATATGCATTCTCTGGCAGGATTTGAACCTGCAGAATGGAACTGTTGTTAGATCTGACGTGCTATAACCAACTCAGCCATGAAGAAGCTTTGCAAATCAAACAAGGTCTGAACAGTGCTTTTAAGATAAATTCTTCTCATAGATTTCTTGAAATTGTCATATCTATTCAGTTTTGTATCCAAACATAAAGTAATTTTCTAAATAAGTAATGTATTTTTTATTTATTAATTCTAGAGGGTGCATATTTTTCTTTAATAAGATTTCTTGAATATTCAGGCTGTTAGATGAAAATAAATAAATATATTATTTAATAAATAAACAGAACATCTACTCAAATAGGAGTATTCACTAAAAATAATGTCTAAAATGATATATATAAAATCAGGCATGTGCCATCAGTAATTACTCAGGGTAGGCAGCTTGTGACATTTATCTACAAAAAAATAAAATATTTTGCATTTTATGTATAATAATCAGAGTACCTTTCATAATTTTGTTGGATTAGATGCATATTGTACCATAGAAGGAAAATATAGCTGCTGACCTCTTTTATTCAGGGTAGGAACTGCTTACAAGTCCCTGTGATATATATATATATATATATATATATATTAGTAATTAACATGTTGGATAAAAGAAGCTCAATCATGTAGTATATTAAAATCCATGTCCTAAATTAATATTTAAAAAATAATGCATAGTCATTAGTCTGTTGCATAAGGTCAACCATTGAGTATTAAAATAATTGATCAAAGTTTTCTCATGGTGAGATGTAAAGTGTAACACTTTTAAAAATAACTTCACCTTAAATTTAGGACATAAAAAACAAAAGTAAAAATCATTTGAATTACAAATCAAAAAGAAGGTCAAATTTAATAAGCTGAGGGTTTTACCATTGTAATTAAATGACAATACATTTAGGCAATATCATTTTATATGTTGATACTCTATCCAAACTATACTTTTACTCCTGTTTAGCCAGTTATTTTTTACACTATTTTGGCTAGAATGACTTTTTCTTTCATTTATTTATTTCTTAGATGTAGTTGAAGTAATTACTAAAATATCTGCCTGTTTAGATTGCTATGTAAAAGCCAATAGATCTTCAGAGAATGAGTATAGCAGTTATGAAAAGGGAGTGATTGCTTCCTGTTCACTTTTGGTTTTTTTTTTTTTTTCCATTATCAGATCCATATAATAAAATGAAGCAATGAATTTTATGTTTCTGGAGCTACAAGATTTTAAAAGATATCCACTAATCATCACTATATGAATCTTTATAGATTCATATAGTGATGCATATAATGCAACTGGGAACAATATGGTACTTTCAAACCAACCTTTTCACACACTGAAAAACTACAAGAGATTTTATAAGTGGATCAGTAAAATCAACTGAAGTATTGGCCTGGCATTTTCTTCTGCACATGCTCTTTACAATAGGTATTCAGATTAGTAAATTTTATACCAGCTTAGTATAGATATTTACTAAGCTTAACTTTACATGACACAATACCAAATGGGGATGGCATAAGAAGATCGTGTTGCATCCCTAGAATCCTATTTTCTTTCCAGGATGAATTATTTCTGTTCTTATTTTTTAATTAGCTTTTTTAAATGATTACTTTTTTCTTGTTTATTGTCATTAAAATACTATCGGAATTAATTAGCATCAGGTTTATTTTAAAGACAGTTGCAGGTTTTAATTTTTCCTTAGTGGCAGACATATTGAAAGAATATGCTTTGAAACCACAAAGATGAGGATATGGGTTTAAATAATCTATGGAATATGAAAATATTTCGATCAGCTTTTGTTTATATTTCATGTTCTGTTTCATTAAATTTTAATTTAATTCCTTAAAATGTTTCAAATTATAAATTACATATTTATATTATACTATCAAATATTTTAATTATTAAAAATTTAACAATTAAAAAGTGTAAATAATTTGATACAGAGATATATTATATCTCTGAAAAAAAAAAGGTCAAACTGCAATAATAAAAATAAGTAATACTATTATAGTGTCACAAGAAATACCAGTTTTGATCTCATTTGATGTCATAGTTCTTTGAAATAATTTTTTATTTGAATTTTCAATGATGAAATCCCACTTATCAAGAACTGCAATTCTACCCCACTTGAGTTGATCTTGCAGGTCTAATATCAAAGAACAATTGTTTTTTGTTTTTTTGCCTTTTCTCTTTTAACAGATTTTTTTAATTAATATATGATAAAAGAACTAAGTTGTTAAATACTTTCCACTCTTTACTGTTAAAGTCAAAGTATGTAATCTCAGCCTTTTCACAACTCAACAATTATCTTAAAATAGCATAAGATAAACACTTCTTATCAGGTTTTGAGGTTTTTATTTTTGTTTTTTTCCTAAAACATTATTGCAATAATTTTTATTGTAATTGAACTGTTTTACTTGTTGAATATAGTAAGAAGATTCTTGACATGAATTCAGATTAAAAAAAAGAATATTTAGCTGGATTAAAAAGGAAAGTTTCACTTATTTATCTCAGTTTTCCTCTTGTTAAGACATTTTTTCCTTTGTTCATCATCTTATTCTACTGATATGAATATCTTTCTTCATAATTTAACAATAAATGGCTTGTCATTTATAACTACCAATACAATTGACAGTATTTGAAATGGTCAGTATTACCTTTTAGATTATTTTATAGAATTTTCTCATTCTTTGGAAAGAATTATCCAATCTTTTTTTTTTTTTTTTTTTGCACCACCCACAAATCATCATATTGCATAATGTACAATTTCAATTTATTTATTTAAAAAAAAAAAATCTTTTTCTTAACACCTCAACAAATTTAGGTGTTGGATTATATGCATATATATAAGTTACAATTGTTAGTATTCAACTAATATCTACTACTGTAAGGTTGCCTGTTTTTTTTTGTTTTTTTTTTTTGTTTTTAACCTTACACTCCATTCTTTCTTGTGATTTGTCACTTATCACAACTACTGTCTTTATTATAGACTACAATTTCTATTAGTTGTGCACTAACCAGTTTCTGTTTTCTCACTTTTAATATTTTTTTATCTTGAGAAAGAAATCAGTCAAAGATTAACTCCCATCTTAGAAGAAACCTATAATTCTGCTTGTTCCTTTCTTAGTTAACACATATTTTACACTGCAAAACTGTCACCTGCCTGTTCCCTGCTCACAAATTTTTGGTTATGTGTTTCTCAAAATTTCTAGAAAGAGAAGATATAGGAAGCGATAATGCCCTAATGCATTTAATGTCTGCTTCATTGAAATGGTATGGCATAATGAAATATGCCAGGGCTGAGATGATTAGTTACAGTAATAAAAATGAGTAAGATGCATGCAATTTCCAACGGTCCTATTAGTCATACTAAAACTGGAAATATGCTAATCTTGTTAAATCTAAATTTTCCTTGATAGTTGCAGATTAAAAATCAATAAAAAAAAATGCAATAAATTATATCAGTGAAACTTGGAGTTAGGTAAATTGCTTATCTCTTAAAATCAATTTGTATTTTAACAACTGATTTTAATCTTTAACTTTAAGCTATAATTGTTCTTTGGTTCAGTATTTGAAAAGTCAGTGATTGTGTTGAATAAAATTTATGAATAGTTGAATCCATACAAGAAAAAAGGCTTAAAAATATTTTCTTATTTGTGTCAAATGTAATGTTTATACCGGACAGTGATAAAAGACAATTCTTCAAATATATTTCCTTTATTTTTGTTAGGGATTTGAAAAATAAAACAAAAAAATCAGATATTATGAGAAATGTTTGTAAAGATGATGAGAACACTTGAAAATTGAACACAAAAAACAAAAATATCAAAGGGATACAGTTTTTGCAACCAATTCAACAAATATTGAAAACTTTCTGGAGAGTGAGAAAG